TTATCTAATTAACGATATATGTTTAATTTTTTTATATGATATCGAAGATTGATCATACAATAGATGGTTTAACATGCCAAAAATATTATATGCTAAGTGAATATAATATGATCAAGTATTACAAGTACATCATTTAATAAAATAAATAATCAACAACCGGAAAATCATACCCGCGCTGGCGCGCGGGTCAAGGTCTAGTTATAAACCTTAAAACAGGCTTATCCTAGAGGTTTTTTTTTATTTTGAGTAAGATAATTAAATTTTAGTTTAAAGAAAATCTTATATATTAAAACAGAAGTCATGACTTATTTCATGTGTGATTTTTTAGTTTGGACAATCTTTAGAAAATTTATAATGCATAACATCTTATAATATCTTTTCATATTTTTAATTTTTATTTAAAATACAAATAAATATTTAAAAAAAAAATCTAACAAAATCTTTTCAAAATCTTTTAGAATCTTTTCAAGATATATTTTCGAATATTATTTGATAAAATTTTAAATATCATAAAATATAATTAAAATTTTAATTCATTTTTGTTTTATACACAAAAATTTAAAACTATGTAAAATACTTTTAAAACTAACCTAAAATTTGTTTATGATTTATGTAGGTCCAACCTAATTTATTTTTTACCTATATTTCAAATTTAGAAATTAAAAAAAATATGTAAATTAGTAATGTTACATAATAATGTTTTTAAAACATTGTGACAAAAATACAAATTATAGATTTTATATTAATATATTATAAACCACATAAACATTATTATAAAATCAGATAGTATACAATATTAAATTATATTTATTTATTGATAAATTTTCTTATATAATTTAAATATTCTAATATTAACATACCCGCACGGTTGTACGGTTCGAGATCTAGTACATCCATTAAATGACAAGTATTCCTAGTTAAGGGTCGTTTTCATAGTTGACATAAAAAAGGTTTTACTAGGCTTCTAGTGGGTTCTTTTTTGAGAAGTTTTACATCTAATCTATCTCCTTTTTTTCCATTTTTATTAAAAATGCTATCTAAATAGTCTATCAATTCTCATCATTGGAGATGTTCTAAGCTCTACAAAATAACAGTCAAGTTAAAATTCTATTAATTGCTAGTGAGCCGTTTAAAAATAAAAATGATTAGCTCTTTAACATGTTCAGGGTAGAAAATGGGAACTTACCGTCCAGTAAACAAATAATCTTAGATTATTATCGCCATATAATGATGGAAGAACCTGTAGATAATTAAGGAATATTAACAAAGGTAGTGCTAAGATGTTTTGGATATGATAGGATGGATGACCATTGACCAGAGAAGTACAAGACCTTGAAACCAGCTTCAATTGTGTTAAGCTTAGCGCCAACTCCAGACATGAGCCAAGTCTGCGCCAAGCTGAACTCGTTGGGAACTTGAACTTTTGGTTTCCAGATATTCACTGCAAATTGTGTCCCGAAATACTTGCCTTTCTTGCATCTCATGACCGCGTACTAAACCAGCTCCAAAGGACATTATATAAAAGGTGTGAATTAAGCCACAAGAGAAACTATAGAGCTAGTGTTTAATACAAGGACATTATATAAAAGGTGTACCTCATGGCCTTTACTTGGATCATACGTAATATCTTCATGAACACTACTTGAACCATATAAAACGATGCCTGGAGTCATCATCTTTTTCCCAAAATTCTCAATGGATTTTGATCGTAATTAGATATCTTCTTTCTTTATTCTTCTTATCGAAACTGTATTTTCTGGGCATACTCCATTCTTGTGCCACGCCTGAGTAACATTTGTATAATTATTGGTGTACGTAGACGTACTTTCCGGTATAAAGCTCGGTCTCATCTACATGCAAAAAAACTTGATGTTTCAACATCTATCATCATGCATATATACATATAGAAAAGATAGATCGTAAAAGAAGTCAAACCTGGATGATGTGGTTTTTAAGGAGAGGATGATCAAAAGCTAGTTGAGTATGTAATGGAACACAATCTATTATATCTCCATCTTCGCTCTGTCACAGAGATTAAAGTGAAACATTCAATCTCGGTAAATTTGCACGCATATAATCAAAGCATAGAGTTTATGAATATGGAATTTGTATAGGATAACCTTAATGGATATAAGAGCAGGCTTGTTGAGTCGCTTCAAAAGTCTTTCTACTTCGATTTCCTTGCGATCGGAGAACTCTTTTCCATAGACACAAGGAGACACTATGATCACCCCTATCATTATCATCATCAGTGCTACCGTGAAACCGGCCATTCTCATTATCGTTAATTGTAATCCTTAGAAACTAATCTTTAGTAATTTAAAAAAAAATCTATCTACTACAGGTGGAATTTATAGGAGCAGATTACTTATATGTTCTATAGATTAGTAAATTAGGAGAAAACAGAGTAGTGGCTAATGAAAGTTGACTTATGACTTCAATATCATCACAACCCCTCATGATCTAAACATCATCGAAGCAACCACGTTTCTCTAGTTATAAAATATTTGTTAATTTGTACTTCCATGTGCATATTTGGTCATAGATTCATATAATGCATCCATAAATATTTGTATGTATAAATTTTCATAACAATTTGTATAATTTGATATATATTGTTTCAGAAATGACTAGAAAAATAAGCTAAATTGTTATTTTGATTCAGAGTTACGTAAATGACAATAATAATTTTAAAGCTCATGCACATATATAAATTTTACATAAAACTATATAATAATAGTTGTTTTTTAAATTTATACGTCTTGAATCATTCTATAATTTGTATTCATAAAATAGAATATTATTATAGATAACTTAAGATTAATTTGGTTATTAACACTGTTAATGAAGATTGACTCATGACTTAAACATAATCAAAGCCCCTCATGATCTAAACATCATCAAAGAAAGTAAGCAACCACGTTTCTCTAATTATACAAAAGTTGTTAATTTACACATTTTACTAGGATAAGACCCGCGCCTTCCGCGGGATGAAGCTATTATTTTATTATATTTTACAAAATGTAACAATTAGTTTGGTTTCATTCGGATTAGAGGTGTTCAATCCGGAGATCGGGTTTCGGTTCGGCTCGTTTTTTAAAATATAACTACTATTCTAAATCTATATGTACTTCAGTTTGATTTGGTTTATCTACCATTGATTTTCAGTTTATTCAGTTTTATACCAAAAAACATAATTATTTAGTTTGAGATCATAATATATATTATACAAATATATAATATGATCATATTTAGAGTCATATTGTCACAGAGTCAGTTATTAAAAAAATATCATATATTTAAATAAAAGAATAAAAAACAAAAAGGCTTCTATCATCTAATAAAATGATCAAATCTATAATTAATATCAAAACACTAAATTTTGAAAATAAAAATAAAAAACAAAACAGAAGCATGAAAGAAAAGTTTTTATATTCTTCCATATTTAGTGTTCATCAAACCAATATGTCTTCGATTGAACACAACTCTGTTAGTTTAAAGATAAAAAAAGTTGTAAAGAATTTCAACTAATTGTTGTCCATCAAATTTATAATCTTTACTTCAATTTAGTTACTGTTAAAAAAGCAAAAATATCAAAATAAGAGGTCTCAGTTGTAATAAATTGTTAGTTATTTACAAATTATAATTATAGTTCAACTCATGTAACAAATAGATATTCATTTGTCGTTATAAATATATACATATTTACATGTTTCATTTTAATCGGTTATAAATCAAACCATATCCAAATCCTATGGTTTTTATAAAATCACATCCATTCGGTTTGTATGGTATATACCAAAAATAATCATAATATCGATTGCTTAATATCTTTTAAAAATATAAAATTAAAAAAAAAGAACTAAGATATTTAAATCATTGATAACAAAAAATTTCAATGTGAAAAGTTTAATAAGTTTATAATTTATAAATGTTCTTGAAAATTTATTGAAATTTTTGAAATTAAAATATTTATGTAATCTTATATGGTATATAGTTTAATCTGTATATATATTTGTTTTATTATTGAATGATACTTTTTACTTATATGGTTTTAAAATCATGTATATCTTTTTATAATAAAAATGTTAAACTACTAATCATTAATTTTTAACATAATAATTTTAATAGTTTTAGTTATTTATTCTCGTTTTTTTAAATTCAAAATATAACCAATAGGAAAAAATCTAAAGTTTAATGTTATAACTAATTTGATTGTTTAATTTATTTTAATAATATAAAATTAAAGAAAAATGATAGAGGATATATAAACTGTAAATATTTATTATAGAATCATTAATGGTAATTCCGTAGGTTTTATTTATGGAAAGAAAATAAAATAATAATTATATCTAGGGAAACAATCATAAATGCTTCTATCATAAATGTCATATCATATATATTAGTCATTTAGGGTAATTCCGTAGGTTTTATTTATGGAAAGAAAATAAAATAGTAATTATATCTAGGGAAACAATCATAAATGTCATATCATATCATCATATCATATAATTTGACCAACGAATGTATCTAGCGACATATAAAAATCGAATGTGGACCTATTTATTTTTCAATTGAATGTAATTGACTACCTAATTGAATGACACCTAAGCATGTGATATTTTTTAATTATTATAAAATTGAGGTTATAATTTTTCAAATGTTTCTCCTTTAATATATAAGGGATACCGCCGTAATCACTAATGGGAATCTTCATCTAACATTTATTACACTTTAGGATTTCTTCACCTTGTAGCACCATTAAGTCATCATTCACCACAGTGAATATTCACCTAATCTTTGTATTGTCGTTAGAGAGAAACTTTCGATACAAATATCCGGCATCTTTAGTCGCAAAGTGATCTTGAGAAACCTCCTCCCAAAACCAAAGTTTCCAGGATCTTTTTTTTTAACTGGTTTTGGCCACACACTCTCTTCCCAGTGAAGGTGGAGCTACTTCGAACTTGAAGGGTTATATTCATATTCGAAGAATAATTTGGTTTTCTTGCATATTGTCATCAATTCTTGCTTTGATATCACTTGTTGGGTTTCGTTAAATCCATATCTAACTCTCTTTAATGTCTAATTAGTATGATATTATCTACTTTAAGTTTGAAGACAAAACATGTATGGATTTGGTTTTGGACTTTCTTTTTAAAAAGTCTCATACTAATCATAATTGGATATTCTTTTTATACTAGATAGTATTTATATAAATTTTAATATGAAATTTTTGTTTGCATTCACAGCAGTAATAATTAAAGCTTTGGTAACGCACAAGATGTAGAATGAATGTAGGCATAGACCATCTCCATTAATGAAATTAAAGGGGAGGGAAACCTGCTTTGAAAAGGAGGCTTAGATTATCTCTATTAGTGAAATTAAGGAGGAGGTGGGTAGTTCACGTTCTCTAAAAAAATATTAAAATAATAAAAAATAATGAACTTGTCTCATGCGAGCTCTTAGCAATGAACTCGATCCATCACGGATTTGTGGGTCCCACGCCATATGGCTGTCCATGACTAGTTCAATTATTTTTTATATTTTTTTTATTTAAAAAAAAAATCAAACAGAAAAAAAATTAAAAGAGAGTTTTTTTTCTTTTTTGGCTAAAATACCTTTTTTAAGAAATTTTTTTTGTAAAGCATAAAAAGTTATATATATATATATATATATTTTATATATTTAGAAAATTGATATATTAACTAATTTTTCTTTTATATACTTATTTAAATAAATTTATTAATAAAACTTTCACATAATTACTAAGATTTTATCTTCGTTTTTCTAAAAAAATAATCTTTTTGAAACAGGATTATATAAAAAATTTCTTTAAAAAAATTTGTCCAACGGCCCAAAAAAGTTTGGAGCCGGCCCTTCTGCTTTGATCAGAGCAACGTTATGATTGAGCAGTACAGAAGATCGGACAGAGTGGAGTTACGTTCATTAGCAGGTTAGTTCTCGAGAACGTTCCTAAAGCTGTTTTTGAATACAAGTTTTGGCTTTTTTCGTGGGATGAAAACTGAGACAAGTGTTAATGCAGTGGGGCCCTGACGCATTCCGTTAAAGCATTGGACATATCTCTAAAGATCGATACAGAGTTGGCTCTTGAGGTGGGAAGAAGGACAAAACGAGCCTAGAAGTTAAGAGAAACATAGCATTTTCTCTTTCTCAAGAAACAGAGAATCAATAACAAAGATAAACCATTATCTATTTTCTACGAAAATAAGATAAGCGTTAGCTACAGAGTGATTATTCATGCGCTCTCTCACAAAACGCTCTGCTTTTTATGTACAAAGAAAAGCAGAAACGATGGGAAGCGGTTCAGTTGTGTTTAGAATAGATTGGCTCAACTTCAAGCAACGGTGATCTCGCTTCCTTCTCTTTCCGCCATGAAACTCACTCGTTTCTGTAAATCAAAAGTTTCAGCATGGTTGTTATCTCAGCAATATCAAGCGTTGTTCTCTTTTTTTTTTTAAGTAAGAACCATGTTTTAAAAATGCGCGAGAGTGTAAAAGTAGCATGCAAATTTTGACCACACCAAAGATAATTTCTATCTGCTCCGCTTTTTCGGAAGAAAAGTTAACTATTTTCAATGAGTAATATTACTTAACTCAAAACTATATGTCATTCGTAAAAATGATGATTTTTGAAAAAAAATTGTTTGCACCCATCTTATAAGATCAAATGATAGTAGATATTATTCGTTCTATTGGAACTAAACGATATTGAAACCTTTTATTAGTTGTAATTTTCTTTTTGGAACTAAGCAATATCAATTTAGTATCAAATTTATCATATATTATGAATTTTGTATTTTATAATTATTTTAGTATGAATATAACTGTATTTATGCAAATATTTATCGATGTTTTTATTGCTTGTATGTTTCTTTTTTTGGTATGAAATTTATTGCTTGTATGTTCAAGTATATCTATGCCTATTTTAATATGCACACACACACACAAAAAAAAAACACAAATCAAGAAACAAAACTACTCACCAGACGAGATTTGACTCCTCTTGTGTCGGTGGGTATAGTGGCGGCTGGCTCATCATGACCACGTTGGAGCGTGTTATTTCTCGCTTCCTTGTGGCTGTGTTTGGCCATAAAGAGAGAGGCGATCTTATCGGTGGCCTCCGCCTCCGTGGCTCCTTCCTTAAGGAGTCTTTCCAGCTCCGCCTTGGGAATCCTCAGCTTCACCCTCACCGCTCCTCCTTCATCTTCCTCCTCCGTCCTCGTCCATCCTCCTGTAGGTTTGAGTATGGAGAGATCGGAAGAGGATCTCCGGGCAAGCATGAGGTGCTCAAGCCTCTCCTTGGCACTCATATGAATTCCTGATCTTATCCTTCTTGGTGGTGGACACTCCTTCACCGGCTCCACCACGAAATACAACCGCTTCGCCTCTAACCTCTGCTTCGCCTGCACCCAACAAAACCAAATGCATTCGTTAGTTTTATTATTATCAACCAAAACGTAGTAATAACAAGAAGAAATGTAATAAACGTTACCTCAAGTGGTTTGGCTCGGGCACCATAGTGCTTAACGGATTCGGAGTCTAACAAAACGTGACCAGGAAAGTCTTTTAGAACTTGTTCCACTGTCACCGGAGTTTTGAGTTTAAAAGTCTCGCCGTCTATTTTCATGATCTTGGTCGTTTTCGTGCCGCCTAGACTGTTACCCATTCTCTATTATTTTTTCTGACAAGAAGGGATAAAGATTGGATCTTTAAATAAGATTGTTTCAGGGCGGTGAGGATGTTCTCGTTGAGGTTTTAAATGAATATATGGGGTTTGCAACCATGTGCGAATGGGTAGATTGTAGATATACGTACGTGGAAAAGGAGTCCAAATTTTAAAATTTATAATAGTACAGAACGTGGACAAAACCTTTGACTATATCGATAGAATTTCAAAATTGGTTTTTTCATAAACCGGTCGTATCCGAACCTGATTAATGTTCTGGAGGCTGGTCCATCTGTAAGCCTAGTTGTTCTACGTGGGATTTAGATATCCAAGCCACCTAATCACACAGATTATACATCTAAGTGGTGCATCGAGTCTGCTGTATCCGACAACATCTGTGTAATTAGGATTTGTTATTTAACTCGTGTGATATCTTGTTTTTAGTGAAAATTTCAATACTGTTAAATCGTAGAACATTTTAACTAGAAATTTGGATGATTACATTCTTGTGTTAAACACTTCATATACTTTTTCTTTTTTTTTTGCTGAAAAACACTTCATATAGTTCATCTCGTTAATATATGTTTATAGCAGGAGCAAATACAACTTAATTAATTTGCCGCCAAGACAGTTACCCATCCTTAGTAATATTTCTCTGACGGTTAAAGGATAAAGATTGGATCCTTAAATAAGATTGTTTCAGTTGAGGGCGGTGAGGGTGTTCTCGTTGGGGTTTTAAATGATGAGGTTTGCTAGCATGCCACTCATGGGTAATTTGTAGATACGTACGTGGAAAAGGAGTCCAGCTTTTTAATAGCAATAAATAAGGTGCATGGACAGAACCTTTGACTATGTCGATAGAAATTTTAAGATTAGCTATTTAAATCGTGAGATAGCTTGTTTTTATTGAAAGTTTCTAATACTATTAAATCGTGCAACTGTTTAACTAAACTTTTGATTATATTGTGACTAAACTCGTTTAATACATGTTTATGTCAAGAGAATATATTTTTTCTAGCACTTCTTTAATTTGTAGTAGTTAAAAAGAAACTCATAGTTAAAAGTGTTTACTTTTTGAGAAATTGATTTTAGGTTGAAAAAAACCGGACTTTGTAAGCAACTTTGAACATGACAACATCATGTGGTCCAACTCTTCAACTCTTGTGGACCGTATATGATGATGATTTGATTTGGTTGATGTATGCCTATCGGTTAGTAAGATTAAAATGGGTTGGTAATTAGCAATAATCATTGTCTTTTGCTTTTAGTTATGGTACTTTGCGTTAATCACGGAAACAAAAAGGTGTTTATATATGATTAAGGAATGACTAATTTCCTCCCTTTATAATCCATTTTTTTCTATTTAGCCGTACATTTTCATTGATGAGACCTGGAATTGTACGTGTGTACGTCTACAAACACTTATATTTCGGTCGCTCCTGGTCTAACTTCTTAATTATATATTCCACTAACTAGATCACTGAAAGATGAAAAATATATAAATGCAGTGGACCTAATTGCAAGCATCGATTAAGACTTACAGAGGTTAATTAAAAAGTCTAAAATGATGGTCTGCTTTGCAACTTGGGAATCCCATTGATGACGTAACAGCTGACATAATATGTTGCAAATATTCATATGAATCCATAAATCATTAATCACGGTCAAATGATTTTTTTCTTTCTTTGTGGATCTAAATAAAGTTGCCAGACCCTACTATACTAAAACTAAAAGTCAGCCCGAACATGGAGCTTGTATCTTTAGTTTAAAGCTTGCCTGATCCTGTGATTACATACAATAATGTGAATATACATATAATAAGCACAATCTATATACAAGTAAACGTGTTTACGTACATCGGGCTAGAGGTAAGAAATGTTGTTCAAAGAACGTGGAGAGACCATGCAGTTAAGTTAACAAGTACTTTACGTAATCACGTTTAAGTGTGATAGCTGCGTGCAAATTAGAGGGAAGCATGGGCCCTTTATAACTATAACTTGTAAGCTCATTGTGGCATTTCGTGCGAAGCTGCTTACTTCGTGCACTTATAACGAATAGATATTCGAAGTTTGCTGGTCAATATTGGTCCCTTCGATAAATGTGACTCGTTCGTATAAAACTCACTACTTGATGCTTACATTTCCTATTTATAAAAATACAATATTGCACAATGTATTCACCGGCAGTATTAAGATATTAATTCTTTTGGGATCATACTTGCATTGAAATTCAAATTCAACAGCTTGAAGCCTAGAATACACACATTATCATCAACCACGTGATCTACCGATACTAGTAAAAATAAAATAAAAATTCATAATTAGCGGGAAAGATTAATATTCAATTTCTAAGACCAGCTGCAGTAGCGGCCCTGGGTAGAAGTATTAGAAGCATGTGCTTCTGGCCTTTTAAAAATATCTAAATTTTTTGGCTATTTTTTTCAAAATGTTTAGTAATTCAGTAGATTAATATTGTTGTTGGTACTTTGAAAGGTTGACGGTTCGACCATGATTAGTAACATAATTAATTTGTTAGTACTATTATTTATTTAATTAATAGGTCTATATTTTTCTAATGCTTCTGGTTTAAATATGTTCGGGACCGGGCCTGCCAGCTGTCAAATTTGGAATATGATATAAAAATATCTGGAAAATAAAAGTGTCCTGTGAATAGAAGAATGTTTCCATGAGTTCATGCTTTGTATTGATTTCTCAACCCACGTATATCCATAATGTACTTAAAGATCTGTCCGCACATAGTCGGAAGATTAATGTCAACGGTGATGGTGAGGACAAGATTTAATATATGGTTGCACCGTTTACGGTAAAGAGAGCCGGCCAGCGGGGACAAAGAAACCCACTTCATTTATTTGAGACTGTTTGAAATTTGCCACGTTCAAACTTTTATCTGAAATTATGAACCGTTTAAAAGGTTTTGTGTACTTTTTTTCTTTTTGGACAACAGGTTTTGTAGTACTATTATTTTAGAGAATTATAGGTAGCTGGAAAGACCCAAGAGAACATTGAAAAGGTTTTTTCACACACAGGAACCCAAGTCGAAAACTAATATTTTGCAACAATAAGATAGCTATTATGGGCTTTATAGCCCAACTATATCCCCATATTATCCATCACTACCTGTCAATTTTTGGTCTTCTTGTATTCATTCGCAGGCTTAAAGCCGATGTAAGACACATCTTTATTATATCTATGCCTTGAACCCAATGCGAAGACTCATTTAATTGTTGCATGAGATTTCTTCAACTCTTTGACGTAACCAGATTACTTGTGCCGTCTTATGTTTTATGCAGAAATTAAAAAACAAAAAAAAACAAAATTTGATTTTATGCCAATACAAACCTAGACTAAAAGTGTTGTCGCTACTGGTTCAAGGATATCGCAATATTCTGTTTGAAGGAAATTGTAAGTTACTTATGGATCATCTTAACGAAAAAACTTCTATAAGGGGGAGCATTTGTTCTAACATTACCTGGTGAGCATCGAAGTTCAACTCATGTGCTTATGCTCATGTCTACAATCAAGCGGCCCATACTTTAGCACAAAAGGCATACATTGCATTGCTGATGGTTTTACAACTTGTAATAATTATGTTCCAGGATAATTATCATCCATTTTACATTATGATTATGTAAAATCTTCCATAACAATGAAGTATATACTATATACACAGACAAAAAACAAATTTTGATTTAATATTTGCAATTTATTAAAGATTTATTTGAAGAAAAAGTCTAACGCTGGGAATTCCAAATACAAACTGTGAAGAAGGAAGAAAGAACATTTGTTTATATATGTAGAGGAAGATTCCTTGAAACTGCAAACTCTAACGTCAGGATCGACGTCCGAAGATTCCGATCCAACCAAACTTTCACATTAGATTATACTAATAACCGAATTAGTTTCCTAATTAAACAAGTAAGTAAGAGCCATTACTCGAATGCCAATCGGAAAGCAACACTTGGCGTCTGGTCCAAACATCCTCGTATACAATGTGTATATTGTATTCTACAAACAATACTTTAAAAGAAAATTAAAAGCGACACCATAAGAAATTGGTTTTTAAGTGCGATTATACAAATGAAACCATTGAAGTGAACTATATTAATAGTTTGATTAACAATAGTTTTATTAAAGCATGATGAAGTAAACGCATAATTAAAAAGGTCACCGACTTGTGCGCTTTTTCAGGTATCATTTACATAAACAAATGAAGGTCAAATCTGTTATAATGAATAGATATAATATAATATATTATATACTACTAAGTTTTTAAAATCGTTATAGAAAATAAGCAACGTTAACTAAGGTATGCATTGGCACCTTCTGAAATGTGCGCTACTTACTAATGGAGGGATGTGAAGATTGATCAAATGTTGAAACATTTTTTGATTGATGAATAGTAAAAAACGTGTAAAAAGATTTAAGCAGGGTCACCAAATCTTGAGAGAGTTAAGAAACAAAGGTGGAAATGACGTGGAAGCGAAGGAAATGTGGGCTCCATTTATCAAATCGAAATTACCAGATGGCAACGCGCTAATCAATAACACCAAGCCACCACTTCTGTTTTTATTTTTTTTTATATCCAAATAATTCGGTTATAAATATATTTCCACTTGTCCATCATATTCTTCAAGCAACCAATAACGATCTCATTCAAACATTCGAGTATTCGACACTCACATTAACAATTTTACAAAACCGATCACAAAACAATGGAAGCTACACTGATCTCTTCACAACTCCTGTTCCATCCATTGGTGTTTTCCTCAAACAAAACGACGACGTGGAGGACACACAATAATAAGAAGATGATGAGGGTCTCTGCAGCTGCGTCTTCAGGGAAGGACCATTACTACGGAGGAGGGAGATTAGTGGACGAGAACATGATCGTTCTGAGGAAACGCATCCACGAGAGGAAGATGGTTGAGCGAAACTACGAGCCTCCTTCTCACTGGATGGATTGGGAGAAGCGTTTCTACAGCAGCTACGACTCTTTGATCTGCGATTCCGTTGGTCTTCTCCAGAGCTTCCTCATGAACTCTCGCCCTACCGTCGCGCTTCTCCTCCTTGTCAGCGTTCCTGTTTCTTCCTCTGTTCTCGTGTTTCGCCTTCTTGATATCCTCCATTGGGTTCTTGTCGCCTCATCGTCGGGTCATGTGGGCTGATCTGCTCGGCCCATTTCTTTTACGTTCCCACGAAATCTTTTTTTTTTTTTTAGATACAAATATTCTTTTATTATTTATCTGATTTATACTTTAGCTTAAAATAAGTTCAAAATCTTGTTATTAATCTATCATTTATTTCTTGTAATTTGTATTATTCTTTTTTATATATATTTTAATGTGACAAAAGATAATAGACTCTGATTACATGATTTTTTAATAAAGCAGTGGAGTTTGACTTTCGTTCTCATGTTTCTTTATGCTATCCTTCTTGTTGATAGTTTGTTTCTCCTTTAAGAAGCGACAGTGAACTGTATTTGGTTTGGTTGCTCGCTCTCTTTTGGATTGGACCCAATAACTTTACTTAGCTATATTTCCAATTCTTTAATCATATTTTATGTTCTTGACCAAAAAAAGAAAAAAAAATCATATTTCATGTTCATCCAAAAGGAATGAAACGTGTGAGTTCAAACCAAGTCGCTATTTCCCAATCTTGGATTGATGAAAATTGCCGCTCTACCGGAAGCGGTGGCCGCGTTTAGAATTAGTGGTTTATCCCATACGAATATACGATGATGTTAACGTTATTTTTAGAGGTTTAAAAAAAATATTAATTGATTATGTAATTATTATATAATTTTTTTTTCATGATTTGATCTTAGTCACACAATATCATGAATCATTTGTTGATATATCTCTACATTTTTTTAACTATTTTAATTTAAACAAATTTAACTTAGACGTTCGTCCTTTACAAAACAAACAAAAAACTTAGAAGAAATAGATATTAAAATTAGTTGACAAAGAAAAAGATTACTAAAATTAGTTGTCGTAAACTTTTCAACTTACACTATCATATACTACAAAAGGGTTGTTACACTTTTTATACCAATAAAAAATAATGAAATTGATATGTACTAAAAGTTAGCAAAAAAACTTTAAAAAATAATGATAGACGAGGTCAAGAAATTAAAGAAAGTACCAATATTGGATTTTGAGTAAAGTTTGGGTATTTTACGTAAACAAAAACAAAAAATGGGACATAAATCAAATCCGTAAGATTTGGGTTTGTCTATTCCCGAAAGTGAAGTGTACGTCGTGTTTCGTTTGTTCTTCCACAAAACCCATCTTTCCAGTCTTCACTTTCTTCTCCGCCACCACACAAACATATTCTTTCTTCTTCTTCCTCTTCCTCTCCCTCTTTTTCTTCGTCATTTCACATTTCATACGCAAATATTCTTCATCTCTATTTATACAAACATTTCATTCGACCTTTCTCTATTCAATGGCGCTTACATACGATCCTCTCTTCATTACATCCGACAAATCCCCCATCAATATACCCTCTCCTCCCCCAACCTTAACCCAAGACGAGCTCAAACGAATCGCCGCTTACAAAGCCGTCGACTACGTCAAATCCAACATGGTCCTCGGCCTCGGAACCGGCTCCACCGCCAAACACGCCGTCGACCGCATCGGCGAGCTTCTCCGACAAAACAAACTCAAAAACATCGTCGGAATCCCCACCTCCAAAAAAACACAGGAGCAAGCTCTCTCCCTCAACATCCCTCTCTCCGACCTCGACTCCCACCCCGTCATCGACCTCTCCATAGACGGCGCCGACGAGGTCGACCCTTTTCTCAACCTCGTCAAAGGCCGAGGAGGGTCTCTCCTCCGAGAGAAGATGATCGAAGGAGCGTCCAAGAAGTTCGTTGTGATTGTTGACGAGACGAAGATGGTGGAGCATTTAGGTGGAAGTAAGTTGGCTGTTCCGGTGGAGGTTGTTCCTTTTTGTTGGAAGTTTACGGCGGAGAAGCTTAGGGAGGTGATGGAGGGTTATGGGTGTGAGGTGAAGGTGAGGTTGGGGGAGGAAGGGGAGGTTTTTGTGACGGATAATGGGAATTATATAGTGGATATGTATTTGGAGAAAGATATGGGAGATTTGAGTGTGGTGAGTGATGAGATTTTGAGGTTGCCTGGAGTTGTTGAGCATGGGATGTTTTTGGATATGGCTTCTACTGTTATTGTTGCGGGTGAGTTTGGTGTCGAGATCAAGAATAAATAGAGGTCTTGTTGATTTTCTTGATTTTTTCTGGTTGGTATTAGGAGAAAGAGAGGATTATGTATGCTTTGTAAGAGGAAACTGATGGTCTAGATATATATTAGATTAGGTTTTGAAATGATTGTTATATGATGTCATTTGTGAGGAGATTTGACTTTTCACAGAGTTTTGGATGCTTGATTAAAGGTCTTAATAGATATTCTTTCCATTTAAATTTAATCCATCTTTTAGAAAAAAAAATAATTTATTTTAAAAAGATAATTATTTCCATTTTTAGTGTATTATTTAATGTTAAATTATAAATTTTAAAATATTTATTAAAATCATATTGGTTAAAAGTTATGAGGAATAATATATTATAAAAAATTATATATTGATAATTTAAAATTCATAATTTTTTTTAATATGTGTGGAAAATACTAAAAGACTTATTGAAACGAAGGCGGTAAACGGCATTTTTTGTTTCATTGATTTTGAGTCTTTCTATGTAATGGGCTTTACACATTATTATGTGTTGGGCTTTACTTCTGTTAACTACCCTAGTCGATATTGACAGGCTTTCTTACTACCACAATAACTTTTATAGCGCATTTGTTAATGATGAATACCCGATTGTCGACATGCGAGAAATTAGGAGAATAATTGATACAATCATCATTAACGCATAATATTGAGATGGGGGTATGCTGATTGCAACTTTAATTGGTTTTGGTAGAACGGTTGGCCTAAAAGACCAATTAAAAAAGCACTATTAACATAAAAACTAATAGTACGTGGTTAGTTAATCAACCTGTCTAATGATCAATGATGCCACCCACCAGCTTGACCTGACGCATTCACACGTACTCAGGAACACACAACGCGAATAATCATTCAGTCCAGTAAAGGAAAATACTTAGGTGGTCATTTGTGAATCTCCTCCGCATTAAGGTAGTCTGTCTTTTTGTTGAGATGTTTTTTCCTTCGTTAGCTATTTCGAGTCTTCGTTTGACCATAGTATATTACAATAAAAATGACCACGTGTATGTATTGTATATCTACATAAATGATCCATGTACTAATAATATATACGATGCGACTCCCGTGATATTGACATTTTTGGAGATAAAGTATAGTAATAATCATAAGATTCCAGAATCCATACTCCATCTCATTGCTTCATCTATAAACACACACGTTACTTTATTTGTTTTCATCTCCTGAATAATTCGCGGAGTTCAGAGAGAAAGAAAGGAAGCTTTTATCAAGGCTTTTGCTTCAGGAAAAGACAAGATTCTATTCTTTTAAGTCTCCTCTTTCTTCGCTTTTGCCTTTCTTCTTCTGCTTTCATACAAAAAAAGAGAAGAAAACGGTATTACAAACCTCTTTCTCTCTTCTCCTTGTTCCTGTCCTAATTTTTTGGTATGCCTCTCGAATTCTCCCCGTCTTTTAGGTTTTATTTTTCTCTCTCATATATCGTTTCTTTCTGTTTCTATGGTTTTGTCTCAGTGTATTTTTTTTTTAATCTTGTTTTCACAAGTTTTTTTATATTCCTCATCTGGGTAAATTTAACTTCCTACAGCTTTTATGCTCTTTGGTTCAGCTTCTTCACCCAAACAAGCATGTCTCTCTCATAATCCAGAAAAACAAATGTTTACTTTTTTCTTAGATATGTGTTTCATTAATGAGCAAACATGTTCAAGTTGCGTATCACATACATCATCTTAGCATTGAATGCGAATACTCCTTGTTAATTGATTCTGACTCTAAACCCACATTTATTTTGTCATCAATTCGCAGCATAAAGAAAGGGGGAGAAGAATCTTAATACTAAATAAATAGGGAGTTTCTTCAGCTGCAAGCAAGCATGGGAGATCATTTCGTGCTGTTTGTGGATCGTTTGATAACGGAATCCACGATTGAGGAAGCGATTCAGAGCAGGAACCGTATGCTGCAAGCCAACGCACCCGTCGAGGAGGAAGGTTGTAGAATCCTCGATGAGAAAACACAAGAGAAGCTGCGTAACGGAGATTTGTCAATGGTGCTGTGCAGGATTTGTCACGATGAGGACTTGGATTCAAATATGGAGACTCCTTGCTCTTGCAGCGGCAGCTTGAAGGTAACAACAGGGTTAGATACATTTTAGATTAAAAAAAAAAAACAGAGTCATTGGTTTAATATTATAAGTGGCATGTTTGTTGTTGGCAGTATGCACATAGGAGGTGCGTGCAAAGATGGTGTAACGAGAAAGGAAACACTAACTGCGAGATTTGCCATCAGGTCCCTTCTCTTCTCTCTTGGTCTTCTTCTTGAAAAATTGAATAGACCTAACTATATGAACATGTGTGTTGTGTTTCAGGGATACAAGCCAGATTATACAGCGCCAGCTCCATTGTTAGAGTTGGGGCATGTTCCTCTTCATTTCAGGGGAACCTGGGGAGTATCACAACGTGAGCATCGTTTCATCACTGTTGTACCTGCTGATCCCACTTTCATCCACGAGCATCAATATCCTATTTCTTCCACCACAAGCTTCATCTGCTGCCGTTCGCTTGTTCTCATCGTACGCAGCAATATCCTCCTCCTTTACCTTCCCATTATAACACCTTCTTTACTCAAAATGTTTCTGTTGTTGCAATCTTGCAGTTTATGGCTCTTCTGATTCTCCGACACACCCTTCCCTTACTCCTTACCGGATCAAACCTCAATGTCTTCCCTTTGTTCATGGTGAAGATTATTATCTCACAGTAGATTCCAGCGAATGATTTAATGATGAAACTAACTGCTTGTTTTTTTTTTTTTTCTAGTTGTTGTTTCTGAGAGTACTCGGGATCATGCTACCAATCTATGTAGTCACCAAAGCAGTCGCCACCTGCCGCCGCCATGCTCAGAACTTGGAAACCTCTGACTCTGAAGATTCATCTGATGAAGAAGCAGAGTTGTGGCGCTTGCCTCAAACGCAATCTTACATTATAGGCGTGCCATGAAACACTGTTTATTTATCCAGTTTCACATTACATAACAAGACGATGTATTTGTAAATATACACTCTCACCTATACATGTAAAATGTTGAATTTGATTTAACAGATTGAAGTTGAACAAAAGAAAAACGTATCTAACTGGCAAATATTTCTTTCTCATCGCTCATACCAAGTGTTTTTCCTGATCTGCATTGCAGAGAGATATAAGATTATTCTTGAATTTCTCCACAACAACACAAACCATGTGGTCAGGATAGACATTATATTCAAAATTTCTATAGAAGATCCCAAAACTCACTGTGCGTATTACAAAATTAAAGAGAAGAATCTGTACACTTTCAAAATGAGAGACAACAATAGCTAAAAGAGCTTCCAGTAGTTGAGTTCTAGCTTCTCCTCGGCCCTGAAATCAGAAGAGGTAAGAAGCCCACGTGAAAGAAAGTTGGTGTTATCACTAAGATCTGAGTAGATAGATAGAAGTATAATTACTTGTAGCAATGGGTAGAGACATAGTAATAGGATGATAAAGTTCAAATCTTTTCCAATAGAATTCCACGCTACATAGAAAAAAGTGGAGATTTCTAAATATACTAGTTGCATATTCCCCGCGCAAGCGCGGAGCCGGAATCATTATGTTTGCGTGTATTTTTTTTGATTATTGGTTTAGTGAATTCTTCTAATGAAACCAATTAATAATGAAATGGAAAATTTCATGTTTTTATATCGTATGTCAAAACTTGATATAATCTATATTTATAGTATATATATTTGTATTAAACGATTTATCAATATGAAAATAACCTTAATTAAGTTAATATTCGTTGTTTAAGTTTCATTAGATAGGTTTTTATATATGGTTTTTTGTAAGTTTGGGTTTTGTTCATAAATGATGTGGCATTTTTATCTACGGAGTCATCGACTGCGGGAATTCATTTGCCGAAGTCTGGAGTCAGTGGTGATAAATGTTTTCAATGAAATTATAGTAGTTATTAAAATGTAAGAGAAATTACATATTCATTTAATAAATAACTTACTTTAATTTTGTTGTTTATTTTATTTTATTTCACATACAATTTTTTGAAAAATATTAGGAATGTGTTAAATGTTATTTATATGCGAAGTAAGGTTTATAGGAATAGTTAGGCTATAATATAGTTTTTAGTGTGTAAAAGTAGGTGTGTTTTTTTTGCTGTAAATAGTTTTTATATCGTAGATCAAAACTTGATATAATTTTATATTTATAGTATTTATATTTGTATTAAACGATTTATCAATTTGAAAATAACCTTAATTAAGTTAATATTCGTTGTTTAAGTTTCATTAGATAGGCTTTTATATATGATTTTTTGTAAGTTTGAGTTTTGTTCATAAATGATGTGGCATTTTTATCTACGGCGTCATCGACTGTGGGAATCCATTCGCCGGAGTCTGAAATCGGTGGTGAAGAATGTTTTTAAGGAAATTATAGTAGTTATTAAAATGTAAGAGAAATTATATATTCATTTAATAAATAACGAAAATAATTAATTTTTGTTGTTTTATTTTATTTTATCTCACATACAAATTTTTTTAAAATATATATTAGGAAATATGTGCAATGATTTAACTTTTTGAGCTCCTAATCTATATTATTCAACCCTCATTAAGCCATCCACGTATGCACCCGCGTGGAATTCACTTTTTTTTTTCTTTGGTCTGTTCGTTTTCGGATTTATTTTTTATTATTTTTGGGTTGAGCTATATTATAATATGATAGTTTTAAGGTTCTTTAAGCCATCCGTGTACGCAACCACGTGAGACTTGTTTTTTTGTTTTTTTTTATTGTTCGTTTTGGATTCATTTTTAACTATTTTGGGTTTGAACTTGTTAAGGTTTAGGGTTTATACAACTATTTTGATCTTTAAAACAATAAGCCAAACAAAAAAAACATAAGAACCTTATAAACAAAAAGCCCATATGATAATAACCTAAATGAAAAAAATCAAAAATACATGATAGCTGCGTGGTTTGAATACACAATCTTGCATACTTAATTAAACACCTTATACCACTTGACTAAAATGTATTTCATGGTTTGTGACCATCTTACCAAGACTATGTCTGTTTAAAAAATATCTATGCATGAGAGCAGTGGGAATTGAACCCATGCCCTTGCAGACCAAACATGGGGCCTTAAACCACTTGGCTAAACTCATATTCTTTGTTTGTAGTCATTTTAAAAAAATTATCTATTTTAATATAAAAATGTGGGATCCATAATCTGTCTATGTGGACACCTTAAAGAGCCTTTAAAGTGTGTCATTATAATATAGATTCCATTCCAAAATTCAAGTGCTCTGACCACTGATCGAAGAGCTCGACGACGGCATACTCGGCGAGTGTGTCGCGAAGAACTGAATCGAAGTTGGAAGTGTTCAATTCGACAGCTCTGTCTGATTGGAATGAAACGAACCTTTGTGATATAAAAACTCGGAACGGCGTAACCATCCACCTCCTTATTTCTTAATGGGCTTTATTTCAAATAAGGATGTGAATGGTTACTAATGCGACGCCGTTCCGAGTTTTTATATCACAAACCTTGTGCTCAAAATCTTTAACGATCTCAGGGTAGTAAGTACTAATAAATTATTTGTGATACGTTTTTAAGCCTTATTGAGCTTATCTATTACAAATTTCCCTTTTTTGCCACACGTATTTCCTTTTCTTTTACCACACGTATTTCCTTTTTCTTTTGCTGTTGTTGTTGTGAATCGTATATATACAGACATGTGTGGACTGATAACTTTTTGTAGATCAATTCCTTACTACTTACTACCCTGAGATCGTTGGGTGCTTAAAGTTCGACAGACTCTCTGCTTCTATTTTGAAGGTTTGTTCTCGAGAACTCGTACTTTGCTTCTGTATTCTGCATGATCAACGGTTTCATCGTTCGAAATATTCATCCAGGGTAAAGAGAATATCAACAAGACAACAACCTAAGAAAATCGATGTCTAGCGTCCAGCAAAACGGACATGTTAGATATGGTATTACAGAACCTATCTCTTTAGGAGGACCAACGAAGCTCGACTTAATCAAAACAAAAGCCCTAGAGAAGTACTTGCAAGACGCTGGATTATACGAAAGCAACGAGGAAGCTCTTAGAAGAGAAGAGGTTCTTGGAAGACTAGACGAGATCGTCAAAACATGGATCAAAAAAATAAGCCGTGACAAAGGGTTAAGCGATGAGACGATTGAACAAGCCAACGCCAAGATATTCACTTTCGGTTCTTATCGTTTAAAAGTGCATGGACCTGGTGCTGATATAGACACTCTATGTGTTGGTCCAAGATACGCAACTAGAGGCAATTGTTTCTTCGGAGAGTTGCATAGAATGCTTTCTGAGTTGCCTGAAGTCACTGAGCTTCACTCTGTTCCTGATGCTTATGTTCCCTTGATGGGTTTTAAACTTAATGGTGTCTCTATTGATCTTCTCTACGCAAAGCTTCCTTTGTGGATTATACCTGAAGACTTGGATCTATCGCAAGATTCGATTCTAGAGAATGCTGATGAGCAGACTGTTAGAAGTCTCAACGGTTGTAGAGTTACAGACCAGATCTTTCGCTTGGTTCCTAACATTCAGAGTTTCAGGACAACGTTGAGATGCATTAGGTTTTGGGCTAAGAAGCGTGGAGTATACTCTAACGTCTCTGGCTTTCTTGGTGGTATAAACTGGGCGTTGCTTGTGGCTAGGATCTGTCAGCTTTATCCTAACGCCTTACCAAACATGTTGGTGTCTCGGTTCTTTAGGGTTTACACTCAATGGCGTTGGCCCAATCCTATTCTTCTTTGCTCTATAGATGATGAAGGATCATCTTCCTTAGGTCTTCAAGTTTGGGATCCAAGAAGAAACCCTAAAGATTGTTTGCACAAGATGCCTATCATTACTCCTGCTTATCCGTGCATGAACTCAAGTTACAATGTCTCTGCAAGTACGTTGAGGATCATGACTGGAGAGTTTCAGAGAGGGAAAGATGTATGTGAAGCTATGGAAGCAAAGGAAGCTGATCAATGGGATACTCTTTTTGAGCCGTTTGGGTTCTTTGAAGCGTATAAGAACTATCTTCAGATCAACATCTCTGCTTCAAATGTGGATGATTTGAAAAAGTGGAGAGGATGGGTTGAGTCACGTTTCAGACAGCTAACGTTGATGATTGAGAGACATACTTATGACATGCTTCAGTGCCACCCTCATCCACATGGTTTCCAAGAAGATTCAAGACCGCTACAGTGCTCTCTATTCATGGGTCTGCAACGTAAACAAGGAGTTTCAGCAGCAGGAGGCAAGCCGTTTGACATCAGAATAACCATTGAGGAGTTTAGGAACACTGTTTACGGTTACATGTTGTGGGTTCCCGGGATGGAGGTTAGTGTCAGCCATGTAATGAGAAGAAACATACCGAGCTTTGTGTTTCCTGGTGGAGTTAGACCTTTGCGTAAGTCAAAAGGAACATGGGACAGCAAACGCAGTTCAGAGGAGAGAGTTTCTTCTACAGGAAGTTCATCTACTATGACTAGTCTTGAAAGTAAAGCTGGGAAGAAAAGAAAGTTGGGAGATGATGAGACACTCAACAATCAGTCAAAGAGCTCAAAACGTCTTGCAGTATCAGTGCATGTAGAGAAGGGTGAAGATGGGAGTCCCAATTCATCTGCTGGATCCATTTGCTCAGCTCCTATGAAAGATTATTCTACAAAGAGCGCAGGAGAGAGTCATCCAGTGGAGAAGATAGCAATTGTTCAAGCTTCTCCTAGTCAAGAAAGTGAGGAGGTTGAAGACAACTTTGGTTTCAGAAATCAAGTGGTTGAGAAGGTCTCAATCTCGGCCATTACTTCAAATGGTTCATCATTGTCCAATCGAGCAGTGGAAGTGGAAGAGCTCGAAGATGTTCCAATGCAACCCCCCGTGGAGACGCACAAAGCTTCAGTGCAGCAGAGAAAGCCAATAATCAAGTTGAACTTCACGTCTCTAGGCACAACCAATGCCAAGAATATCAGAGCTTATTGAAAATCAAGGTGTCAAGTTGAAGACTTTCTTCTTAGTTTATGTGTAAGGAAGAATTTATTATAAAATGGTTTACTTAGATGTTGAAAGCAAGTCTTAAGTACTGTTTAGTTCGATGTAAAAACTCGTTTGTATCAAACTCACAAAGATCTATGTTAATAAATCATTTTGTTTAAATAATCAAATCGTTTGTATCATGTTCATGTGCTTCATTTATGCTTTTTGTAGTTTACAATCATGCAGCAATTGCTTCTTCTTTTTTTATTTAATCCATTGTTTGTAGACCATGACATACTTACGAAAAAAAAGCACATGACATGCGCCTAACTTGCATGAAAATTTTGGCCCATCTGAAATCTAAAATATCCCAAAACAGAAATTGCAATAAACAATCAAAAGACTTTCAAATGGAAGAGATACAAAAAGTCTTCTAATGAAATGGTCATCAAAGAAATATCTAATAATACATATGGAAACAACAACAACAATATATCATTCATTCAACAGGTATACGACAAGAAATGTTTTTCAGGTAGAGGAAGAGCCACCGACTCCTTTGGAAGTAATACCTCTGCAACCAGCACCTTCATGCCATTCAAGCATGATCTCAATCTCACCACACTCTACATTGTTAAGCCTAAGAATCATGTCTTGCGTGATCTTACCATTGTTCCACACGATGCTACTCTCATCAGATAAACAATTGTCCCTCGACGGCTGAACCCTTTTGATAGCGCATCCATTAGGGAGCCTCAAAAGCTCCATCCCCATTTTGAGAGACTCTAAGTAAGGTTTAATGTCTAAGTTTGCATCTCCCATTTTGTCATCTCCAGTGAACTTGTCCCAATCAAACACTGTCTGAACAAAAAAAATTCAATATTATCAACACCAATGAACAGAGACAAGAATTGTCTTTTTATTTTATTTTTCTTGTCTGAATCAATAGAATGTTTTTACCAAGCGAATAGGGACATTGGGATCTTTGATAGCAACAGTCATCTCTTCATTCCAGACAGGGTTGCAGTTTTTCTTCACGACACGCGTCTTCAATGTCTGAACATTAAATTGAAAAAACTGAGACTTCAAAACGACGACGAATCATAAGGTGGTTGGTAGGTAACAGAAAATCTCGATTTATCTTCAATTGTTAATTTAATTAATAAAATCAAATTACAAAAATTCGAGGAGGAAATGAAGAGAACCTGGTCGGCGACGGTGATAACAATATAAGGATCGCTGCTTCGATGGTCGCGGATGGCGAGATTAATCCCTCTTTTGACGTGGATAGTTAGCAATCCCAGAGGTCTTTGATCCATTGACGGAGCTTTGGAGGTAAACGAGGAATAATTGGAAAAAGGAAAGGAGACTTGGGGATGAATGATGATTAGAAGAAAGAGAAGTGTTTATGTTATCCTCCCCAAACTATTCAACACGTTCTTTCCAACAATTTCTCAAATGTATTATTTTTTAAAAAAGACTAAACTATATCAAGAAAAGACTACCAATATTTAATTCAGCAACTTTTGTTTGGTTCCAAACGATATCACTTGTCAAGCTTTTGAACACGAATTCGAATTTATTAAACCAAAAAATTTGCGTCTATTTTCGTTATTTGTTTTAATTATTTTACTAAAAAGTTTTTTTTTTTGTAAGCTAATTATTTATTACTAAAATATAATTATTCTTAGTTTAACATTAATTTATTTTTATAATATTATATTATGATTCTACAGTCCATAAAATTGCTATTTTATATTATTATTAAGATAACAACATAATACCTTAGAATTATTTTATTTTCTAAAAAAATATAACATTATTAATATAAATTTGTTTTAATTATATTATAAATATATATAAACTATGAAAACATGCAAATAAACATAATTATCTAAAACTATGGAAAAGTTGACAATAAAAAAAATTTCTTATTTTTTGATATATAATATTATACTAAAAAATCGTTTTAATTCTCTAATAAATATATATAAAATTATTAAAAATATGATGAATAGTAAAATTACTTAAAAATTGGAGAAGCTGACACATGAGCAAATTTATATTATTTTTAGGTATAGAATATTAATACTAAAAGTTCATTTTAATTTAATAATAAATTATATATAATATTATTAAAAATGTGACAAATAAGAAAATTACCTAAAATTATGGAGAAGTTGACAAATCAGCAAATTTAATTTTCAAATAATAATATAGATGTCTAATGGTTCTAATTATATCTAAAGTTATCTATAAATTCTTTATTAATCTACATAATAATGATAATATTTTTTTGAACAAAATAATGATAATATATCTTAAGACTAGAAATTCCAATGTTCGAATTAATAAACCATGAATAAATAGCTGCTTTCCAAAGAAAATTATTTATAATTTTTTTTGGGCAAATCTACTTTTTTTTTTATAATTCAGGGGTTCCTCACTTACGTGAATTATTTCCATGGGTCCGGTCAGACAACGGTCCAGTTCACCCGCGAGGGCTGTACCTGGGCTGGGGACAAATCCCCAATACCCAGTACTGCATTTGGGTAACCAAGTGGTCTTGGCCTAGTAGTAAAGAGGTTCCAGCTGGAGTTTCCGCCATGGGTTCAATTCCCCTTGGCCACCCATAGACGTCTTAAATGGTAAGAAAATCTGGATTTCTGTGGACCTCATGGTGATTAGTATTTGGACCGAGAAAAAACCTTTAGGATCACACCATCATTATCAAAAAAAAAAAAAAAATTTGGGCGGGGAAACCATATTATTCTTTTTAATTCAATGATTTTACCTTTCAACGTTGATAAAATATTACAACGCACTGATCATAAAACCATAATAATGGGGTTAGACGATATCATAAACGGGCTTATATTTTGCCGTGTAAAAGAAATAACAAAACAACGGAATTGACTGATGAAGTAGGGAGACAGTTTCGGTGCTTCAAAGGGTTTGGTGTATGTCAATTCAATGGTATGAGAAGTTCGAAAGTTAGCTACTTTTCTTTTACATAATGTCTGCTTCACCTTTAACTCTGTTTGTTGGGTCCCCTGTAGATTCTGCTCCAAGTATGTTAATTGGCTAAGGCTTTGGCAATGGGTTTTATGCTAATCATTATCTCTCTCTATTGACGTCGTTGTTACCAGTTTATATTACTGGGAGCTGTTTATTTCCTTCTGGGGTTTGGTTCCATATATCTCTATACAAAGTCTGTCTTTTGTCTTGCTATCGTGTCAAAATATAATGTTATCTTTATTCTCTCCTTATTTACGAACCTTATTTTGTTTTCTTACTCCTAGGTAAGTCTTATTGCATTGACCACCTAGTGACTGCCACGAGAGATTATTGTTTTGCACCTTCCACATGGAAGCTGTAGATTTTTCACATAATTTTTTTTTGCATCAGCACTCTCTCTGATTGTCTTTGCAATGCAGGTGCAACAAACACATAGACACCTGAAGCAGCTTATGATTCCGTTAGGTCAATCAGGCCTAGGCTGAAATTAATTAGCTACTGCCCAGTCTGCCCAATATAATGGAAGGTAATATTGACAGGGGCATGCTCTTGTTCTGTTCGTTCTGCTTATTCCTCCTCTGATTTCTAATTGTGTCTGCAGGCCGTTCTTGAGTTTGTGACCCCTTGAGATTATTAAAATTAGACTAAAAGTGTACTTGAAAGACAGGAAATAATATCAGACACTGATCTCAGTCTTGATAAGAAGTATGGGAGTTTTAAAATATTTATGATCAATATGACAATACATTTAGAAAAGAAGATCCTTAACCATGCATGGCTACTGAATTTGCTGTGTCACTCCTTGGCTTCTCGTACAAGATTTCGAGCTGCATGAAACATGGTGACTAGGTCTAAGAAGATATGCCGAATCATAACAAAAACGTAGAGTAAGTAGTTTGAAAATCTTACCGATTTTTTTTTTGGAGCAACTTTGCAAATCTTACCGGCAAAAAAGGTGAAATTATGTGGTCCTCTAAATCACAATTTGGTACCTGTTAAATATTAAAAAGAAAATTATGGTAGAGTTCATAATCATGACAAAAATAATTTATTTGCTGAACCACTTAAAATGTTGCGTACGTATAAAGTTTCATATATACTAACCCCATTTTTGAATGCACCAGGTTTCACGGAGACATCGATTTGTGGGTGAACATTCTCTGACAGCTACAACATTCACGAGTTATGTGTATCATTAAAACTTGGAAGGAGTTGTGTATCATTAAAAATACAACGTACTCGAAAGTGGAAGTGAAATAAGACATGTGATGACGTCAAATGATGTTTCACGCCCTGCATAAACATAGGACATTTATGTGTGTTTGCAAGATGCATATATATATATATGATGGATTAAATGAACATGAAATTCTAAAAATGAAAGATATCATTAGAAAGATTACCTCGAGGCTTCCACATTTCATTTGGCAAAATGGACAAGAAGTCAGTTCCGCAACTGCATTTTGAAATCTGTAGAAAACAATCGAAAGACAACAGAGAGAGGCAAAACATATTCTGAAAACGAAATAACCAGGTTAAGACTCACATTGGTTAGTATTTTGCTATTACACTTCATATAGTTGTAAATTGATATCCCACCTGGAATGTCCTGAGAAGAAAAAAATTGTGGCATGAGAGAAAAAGAAACCGTTAATCCTAACTAGTAAATTGATGAGAAAAGTTCTGACATGCCATAATAAATTTAGTTTTTTTTTGTGCTTAAAAATAGATATTTAAAATTGTGTTCCCAAAGTTGAGGAAGCCTTCCTAAAGTCTATAGTTGTGGGAAAAGAAAACACACATGTATAAGATTTTGAATTTTTTTAAATGAGAACAAGATTATGATCCGCGCGGTTGCGCATAATTATTTATAATTTATGTTTTTAAATTACAGTCAAATGATTAATGATATTTTCTAAATGGTCGATGCTAGACTATATTTATTATATATTGATTTCCGGTTTGATTTTGATTCGCCTATGAATTTTTATTTTTGTATTAATAGTTTGGTTAGTTATGAATTAGGATTTAGTTTAAGTTTTGTTATTTTGGTTTTTAGTTTGAAATATTTCTCAGAAACCATATGAAATTTGCCTAATTTAATTAGAATATCTTTCAATATCTTTTTTATTTGAAATACAAATGAATATTGTAAAAAAGATTTCTAACAAACCGTTGAAGAATAATTTTAGAATTTATTTTCAAAAAATGATTAATTAAAATACTAATTATCATAAAATATAATTAGAGATGGAAATTAATTTAGTTTTCATTTATAACTAAAATTATATATAAATTTAATTATATTTATTAGTGATAGTAAAACTGATTAATGTTGTTAGTCATAAAAAAATAAAAATAGGAGCATTTGTAATATTGAAAATAAATTAAGAGGATTCCAAAAAAATAACTTATATTTTAATATATATATATATATTCTAGTGAGATATGAATAAGTCCAAAACGTAAATGACAACATTAATAAGTAGTAAAAAATAGAGTTAATAGAATAGATAATGATAAACTAATATCAAATAAGAGATTCATACTTCTTATCTTCTGGCCTGTATTTTGTAGCTTAAACACTTCGGAATGAAACGTGGCTGCATGACAAAGAACAAAATAATAATAAAAGAAAACTAGTAGATACAACAAATACACTCAGCTAACAAAAAAAACATTTCCATAGTTCAATATAGAAAGAAAAAGAGTGAGAAAGAAGTGCATGCCTTGTCCTGTGAGAAAAGTAGAAGCACAGGATTGACATATAATAACATAAGTTTATCTCGGTTAATGGATTTAACGCCAATCTTCTTCCTAGCCATTTGATTAATTTCAAGCTGCCATGACCATGCATAAACATTGTTTTGCCCAAAAAAAAAAAAAACATTGAATTAGATTTTGATTCACACAAGCTATAATTATCAACAACAATTAACCAATAATCATTAATAAACATAAATAGAGTAATGAATAGTGCAGTGACCAATGTATATGTTCCCAAATTTAACAATCGTAGAATTTATTTACATACTCGAACTGAGATATCCCCTATATATTAAAAGATAATCATTTAAAAGATTGTAACATTAAGTTTTTAATAATTAAAAATAATCACAATCCTATGTGGCATAACTCTTTATCTTCTATTTCAATTTAGAAGGATTATAGAGCATGTAATATAATGTATAGTATAAAAATTACACTCTCTAGCAATATAATATTTCGTAGGCTATAGTTGGTCGCATATATCAAATATTTATTGTTTCGCATGATTTCCTTTAAATAAAACATACGGAATTACCTAATGTGATTAAAATATATATATGACAATTAATGATTTTAAACAATATAGATTTTATAACAATCTGTATACTTTTTCTCATTTTGTTTATTTCTTTATTATTAGAATTAGGAAATACAGCTTCCA